CTGAATTAAAAACTCAGTGAAGGTTAGGACCATTGAGTCTTGTTACTGAATGTATATTGGATGCCCAGCATATGGCATCATATATAACAGATAACCTATAAATATTTTTTGGATGAATGGATTAATTAAAAATTAAACCATAATCCAGATGTACTCTAATCAATGAGTGGAGTAGAGCCAGGCCTTACTCTGTTTCTTTAATTAATGTGTCTTAATATTACTTTATTTTTATCAGTTATGACAGACAGTTGACTTCCATTTAGTGTAGGGTTATTCAAAACCATAACTCTTTTTGAACTGAACTACTAATAATAGGTGGGAATTTCTCAAATCCCTTCCACACAAAATAGACTTTCTAAGCATAAGTGCAGAATTTATGCTATTAATTTTTATCTAATTATTTTTCAAACTTGTCTCTGCCATATAGGATATTAACTATTTCTCCCAGATTTGAATCATTTGCAAATGGAATAGACCTGACCTCTATTTAGCCATGGATGAGAATTAAATGTGACAGTGCTGAGGACGAAGAACTATGCAATTTCATAAGAGACATTTCTTGAAGCTGACAATGACCTATTAATTAACACTTTGGGGGAAAGGCTATAAATATATTTAATATGTATTACTACCCAGAATTTTCCCTCTCATAAAAATTTAAACAACTATTTCTCCTATGAGGTGAATCCAGCACAAAATAACAGTGATAAAGAAAGTTTAGGAAAATTTGATAAATGGCTATAAAGATATTCTGGGATATTCTTAACCTTCAAGCATGACATCAGGGAAGGCAAGTATGTCCTCCCACAGTGTGGCTTTCGAAAGTAACTGATGATAACACGGTGCTTGGCTGGATTATCTAGGTGACCTCTCTTTCTATGTAAAAGGACATTTATTGAAGTTACCATTCCCTAAGACTTTCTTACTTTCTCAGTGAAAAAGTAAGAGGAAGTCAGATCCAGGGCAAGCCATTAAGCTCAGCAGATGTCTGCAAAATGACAGAGGGGGCTGGGTGATCTAAGTGCTAATGGCTGACAACTGAATGTGCTGCCTTTTCCAAGTCATATTTGTATTTATAGCTTCCTCTAAATATAACCTAGGAGAGTGCATGATGTAAGGGATTTTTGGGTACGGGATGTTCTGGTTGAGTAATACTCTCTCTGTGCCTCTCAAATCAAAGGTGGTTACCTATACCTAGACTTCTCCAAACCACATTCACATTAGCATATTTGTTTGTTATCACTTATTTTTTTAATAAACTTTATAATGGCAAAGTTATATTTTTGCCCAAGCTTCACTTAACTCTATTTTGAATATGGTCGTGACATTTCAAATATGAAATGAGTCTAGAACTGAATAACTAATTTTGCTTTCTGCAAAATTATAGTGTGAAAATGACACCTTCATAGAATCAAAACATTATGGGGGAAAATTAACAATCCACAGACTAACTTAGAATGGCAGGAAGTGACTTGATTTGAATCAGAGTCTATGAAGTCATAGTGCTTTCAAAGTAAAGAAGTAAAGGAATAACATAAAACTTTTGAAATGGAATCTGGAAGAAAATGCCATTTGAGAAGCACAATAATCATCTTGAAATGGCTCTCTCTAGTAAACAGGAAATAGCCAACAATCTCCCCATCATAAAGCACTTCATAAAGATAATCTTTTCTTTGAAACAACTTTGGTATTAATAACCAAGAAAGGAACAGGCATATACTTCTGCTGTTTATGACAAGTCCTAATCCAGTTAGTGTTTGCTTATGTAGGCAAACTTTGACATTTATAGTCTGCAGGAAATGTGAGTAAGTGCTTGCCAACAATATCTGGTATCATGCCTATTTGGCATTGTATCTTAAAACTATTTATTATTTATGTAGAGAAGGACTGAATTTTTAACAGCAACTTTGTGCTAGGGCACCTTAATGAATTCTTTTTTGTTTTGAACATTTTTCAGCTGATCCTTTCAGGTCTTGCAAATGAATAATATCAGTGGCAAATAGTGATAATTTTGCTTTTCTTTCCAGTATTTACCTCTTATTTTTCTTTTGAGAAACAACTGATAGTACCTCTAAAATAAAGGTAAATTGTGGTCACAGTGAACATCCTTGCCTTTATTTTAGTGTTTCATGTGATGTGGCGTTGGGCTTAAAAACATACACGCACACATATACATAAACATATATATCGCACCCTATCTAAAAAAGAGGGAATATGCTAATTGACTGCCCCACCCTCAGAGATGGCAGCGCCCACAGCCAATAAAGAGTGAATATGCTAATTGACTGTCCCATCCTCAAAGATGGAGGCACCCACAGCCAATAAGGAGGGAATATGCTAATTGACTGTCCTGCCCTCAAAGATGGCGGCACCCAAAGCCAAAAGATGGCGGCGCTCAGTCCCCTCAGCCCCCAGCCACCCAGGGTCGCCCGAGGCTCAGGTAACCAGGGCTGGCTAAGGCTTGTGCTGCCAGCAGTGGCAGCAGCAGAGGTGTGATGGGATGACACCTTCCCCTGATCGCTGGGTCGCCTCCCGTCCCTGAGGGCTCCCGGACTGTGAGAGGGGGCAGGCCAGGCTGAGGGACCCCCTCCAGTGCATGAATTTTCATGCAGTGGGCCTCTGGTATATGTATATACAGTTATAATTACACTCACACATATATACACCTTAAATTTATTATTAAAGACTATATGTCATCAAGAATGGATGCTGAATTCCATCAAATTACTTCTCAGCATATATGGAGAAGATAAAGTTTTTCCCTGAGTTGTTAGCATCGTAAATTACATTAACACTTTTCCTAATATTAAACTACTAGAGGCTCGGTGCACAAAAATTTGTGCACTTGGGGGGCAGGGGGGTCCCTCAGCCCAGCCTGTGCCCTCTCGCAGTCTGGGACCCCTCGGGAGATAATGACCTCCTGGCTTAGGCCTGCTCCCGGGTGGCAGAGGGCAGGCCCAATCCCTAGGTGTAGACCTTGGTCAGGCTCAGAGCAGGGCTGATTGGGGAGTTGGGGCGCCGCACCCTGTCATGTACAGAGCA